CTGGATAGCATTATGTTAAGTGAAATAAGCCAGAGGGTAAAAGACAAATACCATATGTTCTCACCTATATGTGGAACCTAATCAACAAAACAAACAAATGGGCAACTTGGAAATAAAGGACAAGCAGACAGTGACCATAAAGGAGGGGTGTGGCAGATAACAAGGGAAAGAAGGGGAAGGAGCAAGCAAAGGAACACAATTAGAGGACTCAAGGGCACAGACAATGGGGGGATTTGACAGTGGGAGTGGCAGGGGATGAGGTAGAGATGAGCAATAGGGAAAAGGCAGGGCAACTGTAACTGAACAATAAGAAAAAGAAAAAGAAAATAAATAAATAAAAACTGTGGTATATTTGCACAATGGAATAAGAAAGAAAGAGAAAGAATCCCTATCCTTCATGACAGCATGGATGGAACTGGAGATTATTATGCTAAATGAAATAAGACAGGGAAAGGTATATACCAATGATCTCAATTATAGGAGGAATATAATGAACACAATAAACTCATGATCAAAACAGAACCAGAGAAATGAAAACAGTGAACAGACTGACAGCTGCTGGAGGAAAGGGGGTGGAAGGGATGGTGGAAAGAAGAGGAAAGGGATTAATCAAAGAACATGTATGAATAACCCATGGATATGGACAATATTGTGGGCATACACAGTTGTGGGAGAGAGGAGGGAGGAGGGCAAAGGGGGGTAGAATTAGGATAACTGTAATAGAATAAAGATGAATAAAAAATATTGAACAGACACATTTCCCAAGAAAACACAAACTGCCAAGAGATATATGAAAAGCTGTTGAACTTCACTAGCTATTAGGGAAATTTAGATCAAAACTTCATGAAATACCACCTCATACCTATTAGAATGGCTATTATTAACAAGACAGGTAATAACAAGTTTTGGAGAGGTTGTAGAGAAAACGAAACCCTCATTCACTGCTGGTGGGCATGTAAATTGGTTCAGCCACTATGGAAAACAGTCTGGTGGTTGTTCAAAAAGTTAGGAATAGAATTACCTTATGACCCAGGAATCCCTCCTTTGGGTAGTTAGCAAAAAAACCTTCAAAACATTTATTTGCAAAGGTATATGCACCATTATGTTCATTTCAGCATTATTCATGGTGGCCAAGACATGGAAACAAAGTGCCCTTTGATAGAGGATTATATAAAGATGTGGTACATATATACTATGGAATACTACTTATTCATAAGAAAGCCTGAAATACTGCCAATTGCAACAACATGGATGAACCTTGAGGTTATGCTAAGTGAAATAAGCAAGTCATAAAAAGCCAAGAATCATGTGATTTCACTCATATGTGGGATATACATCGAAACTTATAGACACAGACAACAGTATTGTGGTTATCAGAGAGGGTAGGGGAGAAAGGGGTAAAAGGGACTATTTGGTAATGAAAAATGATAGGACTTTGAGTGATGGCACACAATACAATATACGAGTACAGATCATGTATCATAGAAATGTACACTTGAAATCCATATGATCCTATTAACCAATGTCACCACAATAAATTTAATTTTTTAAAAAATTGATGATACAATGAGGATAGAGAGATTTAGGGGAATTGGTGAGTTCATGTTTGGACTTTCTGAATTGAAGGTACCTCCAGCTTCTCAACCCAAGCAAAGAGGTCCAGAAGGAGACTAAGTAGGTAGCTCTGTAGTTCAAGGGAGTAGTAGGGGACAGGGTTTCAGATTTGGAACTCACTGGCCTGTAGATGGTACCAAAAACATGGAGATAACTTAACTACTCCCAGAGAGAACATATGGAGTGATTAAAAAAAAAATGTGTCCTACTATTTTTCTCAAGAACAGCTGGTGGAAGAGGATTATGATAAGGATAAAGATAGAGTAGGTGTGTACAAATAGGTAAAGGAGAATCAGAGAAATTATGGTACCTGAGGAATGAAGGAAATGAAGAGTGCAGAGGAAGCAGCAAAAGCAATCCAGTGACTAGAAGCCAGAAAAAATGCCCTATCAACTTGCTTATGAGGTGACTTTTGGTGGGCAGTTTTAGCTTAATGCTTCAGATTGGAATTGAGATGTCAGAAGCAGGATGGAGGAAACTACCTTGAAAAGGAGGAAGATCACCTCATCAGAAGTTGAGGAAGGAAGTGGAGGATAAAGATCACCATTTGTATTTTTATAGGGGAAGTAGACAAAGTTGAGTAAATTTGGTGTAGTGGCCTAAATTTTCTTGAAGAAGGGTGTTGAATGCCTTCTGTTAAGAAGGAAGCAGGAGAGTGACTGGGCAGTGATGGATAGAGAGATTATTTAAAAAAATGGAGAAGATCAATAGTGTTCATTGGGGAGAGGAGGGTAAGCACTTGGCCAAAATGAATGGACTGGTGGGATATTTTGTTGGCCCAGATGAATTTCAGAATCCTGCATCTGTGGTTGTTAGAAGTACCACATTCAGGTTATTTTTCTCTAAATGTGCTAGGAATAGAGGTGGCTGATATCACTTTTTCTTTTTCTAGGCTGAGGTTTTGCTAGATGGTGTTACCCATACCAGGAGGTATGTGCTCCCCCTTTTCAGTAGCCTTGACTCTTTAAAGAGTCCTGAAGTAACACAAAAGAAGTAGTGGTTATTTGTTCTGCAAAACCTTTGACTTCCTCACCAATTCCATGATGTCTGCAATGCCATGAAAGCCAGGTCTAAGCCTGGAGTTTAAAAGTCTGAGATGCACAGCCTCCTCTCAGTTTAATACCTTCCAATATCTAGGGCAGCCCACATATTGAAAGAAATTGGAGAGGAGGCTCTTTTGATGTTTATTTTGTCTAGAGCCTTATCTATACTTTGAATTTCATGTTTCACTGTCACTAAGTTTGCCCTCCCCAGACCCCTTAACATTGAATATCTGAAGTATCTGAATCTATGGGCCATATCTAGGAAGTACCCAACCCCCATTCTTATTTATACTCTTGCTCTGACTTCATGCTGAGTGGCACCCAGCCAGAAGCAGAAGTGTTCTAAGGTGATTAGCTAAGAGCATAAGGAACAATTAGAAATCCATTGTGCAGACAAGTGGCTGTTTGATTTCTATCTACTTCCCTTTGGATATTAAACTTCCTTTTGATTAACATTTGGTTTCTGCTTTATTGGTTGATGGTAGGGATTAAATATGAGAAGGGACTTAGCAGTGCCCAGTGTATTCAGCATTCAGGACATATAGTCGCTCCTCCTATATATGGTTTTGCTTTCAAGGTTTCAGTTACCTAGGGCTAACTACAGTCCAAAAACATTATATGGAAAATTCCAGAAATATACAATTCATAAGTTTTGCACCATTCTGAGTAGTGTAATGAAATCTGATGTCATCCTGCTTCGGCTTGCCTGGGACGTGAATCATCCCTTTGTCCAGCATCTCCACACTGTACATACTACACACCTATTAGTCCCTTAGTAGCCACCTCAGATATCAAATCAATGTCACAGTACCATAGTGTTTCTGTCCAAATAACCCTTATTTTACTAAATAAGGGCCCCAAAGTACAAGAGTAGTGGTACTGGCAATTTAGACGTGCCAGAGAGAAGCCATAAAGTGCTTCCTGTATGTAAAAAGGTGAAAATTCTTGACTTAATAAGGAAAGAAAAAAATGTATGCTGAAGGTGTTCAGAATTATGGTAACAATGAATCTTCTATCCATAAAAATTGTGAAGAAAAAAAGGTTTTGCTAAGTTTGCCTTTACACCTCAGACTGAAAAAGTTATGGATGCAGAGTATGATAAATGCTTAGTTAAGATGGAAAAGGCATTAAATTTGTAGGAAGAAGATATGACAGCATCATGGTTCAATATCTCCTTCTATCATATCATCAGAAAGTCAACAGTAGCCTAATGCTTTGTCACAATGCTCATATCACTCACATTACTCACTTCATCTCATCGGTAGGCATTGTGTCACCTCCCATCATCACAAGGTTGAGTGAAGTGCAATGCATTATTTTGTGTGTGTTGTGAAAGACAGCATGTTCATATAACCTTTATTAAGTATATTATTCCATTTTTATTAGTTATTGTTTTTTATTATTGTTCGAGTACAATTGTCTCCATTTTACCCCCAGCACAACACACACCCCAGGCATTCCCATCTCCCACCCTCTATCCTAACTCTCCTTTGGCTTTGTCCATGGGTCCTTTATACATTTCCTTGAAAACCCTTCCTCCTTTCCTCCCATTAACCCCTCCCACCTCCTCTCTGGTTACAGTCAGTTTGTTCTTAATTTCAATGTCTCTGGTTCTATTTTGCTTGCTTGCTTGTTTTGTTAATTAGGTTCCACTTATAGGTTAGATTATATGGTATTTGTCTTTTACCACCTGCCTTATTTCACCTAACGTAATACTCTCCAGATCCATCCATGCTGTTACAAAGGGTAGGAGCTCCTTACACTGTTGGTAGGAATGCAGACTGGTAAAGCCACTGTGGAAAACAATATGGAATTTCCTCAGAAAACTGAAAATGAAATTGCCTTTTGACCTGTCAATTCCATTCCTGGAACTATACCCTAAGAATCTTGAAACACCAATTCAAAAGAACCTATGCGCCCCAATGTTCATAGCAGCACAATTTAGTTATTGTTTTTAATCTCTTACTGTGTTTCATTTATAAATTAAACTTTATCATATGTATGTGTGTATAGGAAATGCATAGTATACATTGGGTTTGGTACTATCTGTGGTTTCAGGCATCTACTGGGGGTCTTGAAATGTATCCCCCACAGATAAAGGGGAATGATTGTATTGCTATTGCTGATAAGGAAATGTACATGAAGGTGAAGCTGCTGGAAGTGTTTATATTGGAATAGGTGACTGGGAAAGGGCCTTTCTTTCATCATCCTCAGTGGGAAATCACTTATCTTACCTACAGCCAACATTCTTGGATTAACTCCAGACATCCCTCAGCACCAATGGTGGAGAGCCACGTGGATGGGGCATTGTAATAAAAGGACGGTTCATGGTAGGCCTCCATTTCCATGACTGGCCAGAAGAGGAGGAACGCTCTGTGATCTCACCCCAAGGTAAGTCCTGATTCAAACCCCACCAAGTTTTCTCCAGATACTGGGAATCTGCTTAGGCCCCAGACCCAGGAACTTGTTAGGATCATTTGTTTCTAGAAACTTTCAGAACCCAGAAGGAAGCTTGGACTCTGGCCTTTGCCCATTGCTCCAGATATCACTCTGTTACTAGTCCTGGGGGCTTTCCGATAACATTTTCATGATATCCCTTCCAGAAATAAGTCCCTTTCTTTAATCATGGTCTTCCCGAGGCTGTAAGAAGCCACACAGGGATTTCTCCATTCAAGGAAAGGGTTTTTCAAAAGAGAAAGTGTTAATAATTTGAGTGTTGGTAGGCTCTTTGCAGCAGTGTTATTCTACCCATCTTCCTATTTATTTATATATTTATTTCTCAAACCTTTATTGATCACCCTCATATGCCACACACTGTGATAGGAGCAAGTGATAGGCTCAGTCAGACATGGTACCACCTTCATAGAAATGTACACTTTGAAGGACATATCAAGGGGCTCTAAGCACAGTGCCTGAGGGGCAGAATTAAGAAAGGCAGCCCTTACCTTTTCAGGTATTCACAGCACCACAGCCATTCCCTCCACCCAATTTCCAAAAGTCTTTACCTCTACCTGTGTAGAAACCAACCTGAGACTTTCAAGGACAATCTGCAGTGGTGGCTGGCTCTAAGTTTGCCTTGTTTTTTCTTGCTGTCCACCTAATGGCAAGCCTTTTTTTTTCCTATTACCCCATATCCTTTCTGCAAGTCATACCTGGTTTTGAACAATGTGATCCTTTATCAAGGAAGTCATTTGTCTGCTTATGTGGCCTTAAGCAAACAAAACTTAAATTCCTGCACAGTACTTGTGCATAGGAGGGGTTCAGTAAATATTTCTGGGATTAATGTTGCCTGAGTCTCAGTTTCTTCATCTATAAAATGGAAGCAATGATTGTACCTTCTTTGGAGGGTGGTTCAAAACCAGCATGCAAGGGACTTAGGACAAGTTACAGTGTTGCACTGATGTGAGTTCCCTCATTATTCTCATAGTCAGAGGAATGACCTCTGTTACCCAACCCATATTTGGGTCTTTCCCTTCCCCTAGCTGCATAGAGAGCCTGAATGCCACTGAGAGACCTGCATGTCTCAGTTTTTGAAGAGGATGTTGGGCTCTTATGTCCTGTGGTTGGCCTTGGCCTCCTGCATTCTGATCCTGGCTTCTGCAGAGCAGCAAGGTGAGTGCTCACCTGGCATCTCAGATGCCCTTCAACACCTGGGGAGTGAGCAGGGAAATGCAGAGAAAGCAATTTTGGGTCAGTGAGAGGACCAGGAGATTTGGAAGCAAGAAGTCAAGGAGAATGAAAGAAGCCAGAATCGAGTAACTATCCCACAAAGAGCCAAATCAGAAATGCCCCCAGCAAGGAAAGTGGGAACCAGTTAACATAACTTCCATGCCCAAATATGAGATCAGAGAGCCTAAATTTATGAGGGCACACATAACATGGTCACTCTGTGCCCTGATTTTGGCAAGTGACTTCTTCCTCTGAACCCATTCACATATCTGTAAAACTAGAGGGCTACATTTAGTGTTCTCCTGTGGTTCTTAAAGATGTGTGGATTGTGCATTGTAAATGTTTTTGGAAAGGGTCTTAGGGTCAAGAGTAGGGTGAAACCCGTTGAGGAGGCTGGGAGAGTAGTGAGGAAGGAACTTGGCTCATGGCCTCCCTTGGGAAATTCCAATGTGTGCAGGAAATAATGCAAGAAAACAAGTGCAGAGACTCCTTTCATAAAAACAAGTACATACATAAGTAAGCCTTGAAAATATTCTTCTAAAATTTTCTCTAATATGTATCATAAGCATATGATCCTTCATACATATTGAGTTCATCATTTGGGCATTCACATTATTCAACAAATCAGAGCTAAGGAAGAGAACTAGCTTAAACATCCCAAGTACTGTGCTTGGCATTTTACACCTGTAATCTCATTTAATCCTCCAACAATCTTTTAGGGTTTTATTTGCCCTTTACTTCTAGCTTCCAAATGGGACACACATATCCCAAGGTGACTATGGGGGTGCATGACAAACTCTTAAAGTATTTTTTTAGTGATCTATGTTTTTCACATATATTAAACAAATATAACTAGTACATCATAGCTATAGCACTACAGATATTATTCCTTGAAATGAAATGAATTTATAAAGAAAATCATTGAAAAAAATATATGAAGTAATAAAGACAAGGAGCCAGAGGTATGAAAAATGTCATCATTCCAGGTGTCTGGGAATGGATGAAATTTGAGGACCACTAGCTCACAGGTATTATTTTGCAAAAGAGTCTCCTGGAGAATTTAACCACCTGCCAAGGTCATCCAGACAGCAGGTGTGGAGCTGGATTTAAACCCAGACTGAGCAGCCTGTGGTCCCTTCCCTCATTCTGTCTTTTCACACATCATAATCCCTGAATCTGGTAAAAACCATAAGGTCAAGAATCAGAAATAGGCTTATCAGATCAGTGGTTCCCAATTTAGCCCTGTCTGGAGACAATATGGAAAGAAGAGTACTACTGACATCTAGTGAGAAGAGCTTGTAGATTCTGCTAAACATCCAGCAACGCATAGGATGGCTCCCAAACACACAATTATTCAGTCCAAAACATCAATAGTGTCAGGGTGAGAAAATTTATGTTAGATCTGTAACTGCTGATAATGGGAAAATCCCTGTGATACATTAAGAAAAATATGCAAGTGGGAAAAAAGTTGTACAGCATTAAACCCATTAAAAAAAAACAACCTATATTTTAAACATATGTATACAAGGTGTTTACAACAAAGGTCTCTACAACAAATTTATGGTTACCTCTGAGGATGGAATGATCTTATGAGAACTTTCATTTATACCTCATTTACTTTAATGGCATTTGAGTTTTTTCCAAAAAGTCAGCATTACATTTATAATGAGGAAAATAAATATTGGTCAGATAGGACCACAGTGTGTGATTGAACAGGGGAGTGCTGCACAACCTCAGGGCAGGGCTTTTGCCAGTGGAAATCAGGCACTTCCACAGGATTGTGGAGAAAGCATTCCAAAGACACATGCACAACAGATTGTGCTATGTCAAAATTTGAGTAAAAATAGAACATCCTTGGTTTGCAATGATCTATCACTCTTTGTCCCACCACGGAAAACCAGCACAAGATATAGAGTCAATGTCCAGAGACTCTGTGCCATATTAAAGCTCAGTTCAGTCCAGCATCCAGCTTGTGTTCCCTGTTTCAATCTGTTGCTATGCTGAGGTTTTCAGGTTCCCATGTGGAGACTGCATGTGGAGTCAGCTTGGCCATTGGCTATGTGTTGGCTAAGGCCACATGGCTATAGAGCTTATATTTCTATTTATGTATTTATACTATATTTCTATTATATAAGGTGGCATTTGGGATGGGCCAGGTGCTCTTCCAAATGTCCAGTTAAATTCCCAAGTTTTTGCAGGTTTTGGATGGGTCCACACCCCCTAGCCAGATTTACAGGCCTGTATGGTTCAGCACTTCCTCATGTACCTTCTCAAATATCCAGTATCAGAGTAGGGCAGGGAAAAATGTTAATCTCCTTGGAGGAGCAATGCTATGATACCTTGAGGTGTGAAGCTGTAGTTTCCTGGTGAAGCAAACAGGCTTATGCTCCCCAGTTTATTAGGTTGAATGTCTAATTCCCTTTGCTTCCCCTTTCTTAAAATAATTAGCTAACACCTATGGTAACAAAGTTGATCGGTCATTTGTAAAAGCACCTGGTCTGTCCCAAACCCAGGCTAATATAATCCCACAGGGACAAAGAAGTTCTCTCTCTCCCTCTCCCTTACCCACTTGGTAACACACTCCCTGTGCATTCACACATTCTCTTTCACCTGGGAGCATGTGACCATGTGGGGTCTAGCAGCTGCCAGGATCCATGGCAGACTGCACTAGCAACAAAAGTACTAAGCTTTAACATGAACCAGAAACTCTGGACACTGGCTTTTGTTTTGACCTTGATGAGAACATGGTTGAGCTTTTTCCATGGCAGGACAGACAGAAATGAAAAATTGGAAACCCAGGGGACTATTTCTACTTGGCCACACCACAATCTCCCATGAGTGGGTCCTTGGAATTCTTTCCAGTGGTCATGATCCTTTGGAAAAGCCACCAAGCTCAATGTGCATGGTGGAAATCTGATGTTCTTAATGGCTATAAAATACTGCAAAACAGCCTCATTATTATTCAGATTCCAAGGTGTTGAAGGCTTATATTTAATTAATGGGTGTATGCCTCCTTAGGATTCTTAGCACATCTAGAACAGAGTGTATCTATGAATAAAAGTTCTGTAGGCTCTGGGGTTGCTCAGTAAACCCAAGCACATTATTGCTTTCCAGGTTACAGAAATGCCACCACCATCAGTGCCTATGGGCTGGATTTGGAGTGTGGCACTCCTGGGGCTCCAGAACCCCCACTCTGCTTTGACTCCTGCCAGAATTATACCCACCTGGATGATCCCTCTCGAAGCACAGAGAATACAGAAAGAGCCCAGAAGTGTGACAGGGACCTGCAGGGCTGGTTCCGTTTTATGGGAGGAGGAGGAGTGAGAATGCCGGAGACCTGTGTCCCAGTGTATAGATGCCAGACTGATGCTCCCATGTGGCTTAATGGGACCCACCCAACCCTTGGGGAGGGCACTGTCACCCGCACTGCTTGTGCCTCATGGTCAGGCAACTGCTGCTACTGGAACACTAAGATTCAGGTGAAGGCCTGCCCGGGTGGGTACCATGTGTACTGGTTGGAGGGCAGCCCTGCATGTAATCTGAGATATTGTACAGGTGAGTGGCAGAGACCTTGGAGGCAGCTGTGGGACAGGATAAGTGGAGCGGGTTAAGAGGAGACTTAGCAGAAAAGCATTAATGCAGTTCTTGCCAGTTACTGTCTAGCTGGAAAATCCACTTCTTTCACTTATATGAGAGACAGTTATTAGTATTGTTTTTCACTTGTGGAAAGAAATCCAATTTCTTTCACAAAAGTGAACATTGAAAACAGTAGTCAGTGTTTGCTTTGCAGGGGCCATTATAGAGATAGTGCACACCCAAAGCAGCAAGAGTGGCCTCACCAAGCTTCTTTCCCGGGATTACCAGCTCTTCCAACATCTCAAAACCAGGAATTCAGTTTCCAGGGTGAAATCACCTGAAAAATACATGTTTCCTGATATCCAAAAGTAGAGTGCTTCTATGAAACTTTTTGTCAGCCAAAATGAGGTAAAGCAAAGAAGCAATTACCATTAATATACATGGAAAAATTTTGGAGCATTCCTAGACCCCGCAGATAACCTACCAAATCCTATCAAATACACTTAATTACATCTAATTTTATACTAAGCATAACACACTTACAAGCTGTCTTAGGCTTTTCAGATACCTTATGGCACATGCTGCTAATAGATCCACAAAATAAGTGGAGGTGAAATACAGATGCTCATAGACACAGTTCAAAGCAATAGTGGCTTGATGCTGAGATGCTGAGTGCAGTTCCTGGGAAAGAAGCTTGGTGAGGCCACTCTTGCTGCTTTGGGTGTGCACTATCTCTATAATGGCCCCTGCAAAGCAAACACTGACCACTGTTTTCAATGTTCACTTTTGTGAAAGAAATTGGATTTCTGTCCATAGGTGAAAAACAGGTACTAATAAAAGTCTCTCATATAAGTGAAAGAAGTGGATACCTGCATATATCCATGTGTATAGCATAATATTAAGAACTCAGGCTTGTTTGGATATAGATTTCATTTGGATAATTTAATTTGCTTCTCCAAGCTTCATTTTTTTGATCTGAAAAAAAATGTATAATGGCAAAAATAACTAATGTATAGTGCTTATAATGTCCTTGCTCTTATCCTATGCACTTCAGACTAGTAAGTCATTTAATTCACTCATCAACTCATAAGATAAATATTATTTAATCACCCAAGATGACAAGTTTGGGGCATAGAGAGGATAAGCAGCTCACCCGACATCACAGAGCTGGTACTTGAACCCAGCACTCTACCACCATGCTACCTTGTCTCATACAGTTACCATGAGAATTGAATGAGTTAACACATGGAAAGTGCTCAGATCAGTGCCTGCCATGTTGTAAGCGTTAAGATGGAAGCTTCAGGTTTTTCATTTCACTGGACCAGGAATCAGGAAATTCAAGGTTGGGGCTTGACCCAACCTTGGGCTGGACTTCTGAGCCTTGGTAGAGTGACAGGGTTGGCTTTGAGGGCCTCAGGTCCTCCTTGCTCTGCATTCTGATCCCTTTCTCCATACCTCATGCCCAGACCCTTCCACTGTGGAGAACAGGTGTGAGAAGGCCTGCCGCCCAGAGGAGGAGTGCATCTTTTTCAATGACACCTGGACCTGTTCCTGTAAGCAAGACCTCAATACCTCTGGTGAGCAATTTAATGGCCAGGGCAGTAGGGACCATGTTGGGTGAGAGCTGACCTGAGCAGGCACAGAAGGAAGGAGGGAGCTTCAGACAAGGTATAGACCAGAGTCAGTGGGGATGGAACTAAGGTTAAGGAATGTGAGTTATCAGAGCCAGTGGGTTTTTAATGATGAGGGGCAGGGATACAACAAATTTTCAGGCATCAGGAGGCAGCTCTGGCATGGATGGACTTGACCCATGAGGGACAGAGGTACTGAGGATGCAACTCTGCACTTGTGGGAGCTGTGTTCAAACATCTACAGAGTCTACATATGAGGGACATGGGCAGACTGCTTTGCTAGTCCATGAAGTAGTTCTGGGAACCGGAACTAGTCATCTACCCTCTCTGAACTTTAATGTCCCCATCTGTAAAAGAGGAATAATATATTAATAAAAATACTCATTATAAAGAGCTATTGTGAGAATTAAATGAGAGTAGTCCAAATGGGTAGGCTCTGGAGGTGATGGGTTTATCCCAGGAGGTAAGCAAAGAGCAGCAGATAAGCCATGGGAAGGGATGGTATAGACAAGCCGTAGTCTCTCTTAGGACTCTAATGAGGGCCTCTGACTCTTGGCTTTTGGCATAAGCATGCCTTCCTCTGAGCAAACTCCCACTACCTATGAAAGAGAGAGGGTCCTAAACAGAGGGACAAGAATAAGCAGAATGCACTTGGAAAACTGGTATGGAGTGTGGATGAGGTGGTGCTTATGTGCCTGGCAGGAGCTGCATGGGATAAGGGGCAGGAACAGGAAGGGAATAGCCATGGACACTGGGGAGATGAGACCTCTGAGGGTCAGGATGGTTTCCTGGGGTTTGGGCCATCACAGAATCAGATGCTAGGCTTTGCAGACATCCTCCCTGTACCTGGGTGGGTTTCAAGGGCATTCTTGGCAGGTCCTTTGGCTGACTGGATGAACAAGTGGCCCTTCATGTCTTCATCCATGGCTATTCAGTGGTTTTCCATTGCTTCCAGACATCATCCCTTCATGATCAGTCTTTGGATTGCTTCTCAATCTTCCACAGTTTCCCCTGCCTTTCTAAGTTTCTGTACCTCTGAACACTGTGTCTATATGAACACACCATCCTCTCTCCCATGACCATACTTTGTCTGTGCTGTTCCCTTAAACTTCAATGGTCTCACTTGCTTTATTCACCTGAAAAACTCTTACACCTATTAAGCTCCAGGCTTCTCTACATCCTTCTCTGACTGACCTGACAGACTCAGATAACTTTTCTTGTGCATTTCCTCTGTGCCTAGAATATACACCTATTAGCACTTTCATCATACTGCATCATAATAAGAGGTTGGCATTTTTGTTTTACAGGAGACCAACAAATCCTCATGGACTGAGTCTATGGTTCCTTTATTTTTGTGTTAAGTATTCCCAGCACATGGGGAAGCTCATTAGTAAATGAATGTTAAATTGATGCAATCATGAATGCAATAGGGATTGTATTTTTCTTAATTTACTATGTCTCCCTTGTCAGAATGTTAGTTCTATCAGGGTTTGAATTGTGTCTGTTTTGATAATTATTGTATACCCTGTGCCTAGAATACTACCTGACAGGTAGTAGAGTCTCAAGAAGTATTTGTTGAATAAATGTTGGATGAATGAGCAAATGAGAGAAGGAGTGAATGAGTGAATGATTGAATGCACGCAATGGCTTGAACCAGATCAAGTGCCCTGGCTTCACAAAGCCAGGAAATGGGAGTAGTGTGTATCTAGCTTTAATTCTAGCATGGAAGATGGGACAGTCCTGATTACCCAGGACTCTTATCCCTGAGGAGAACTGGACATGGAAGCTCACGCCAAATGTGCACATAAGATACTTAACAATCTCAGACCAGGGCCTTCTTTGCTAACCTTGCCTACTGTAAGTCCAGGCATGATCCTACCTGGTTCCAAGCTCCTTCTAGTCTACCTAGCTTCCTGAAGGGCATGGTAGTTTTTCTAATGCAGGGAATGTGGACTGTGCCCACTGCTTCCAGAACCAATCCTCTGACTTTTCAGATATCCACCGTTTGCAGCCTCAGCTGGAATGTGGGGCCACGGAGATCAAGGTGTCATTGGACAGGTGCAGGCTGGAAGGCCTGGGTTTTGGAGACGAGGTCAGGGCCTACTTGCAAGACCATAAATGCAGCAGCATCATGCAAAGAGAGGAGAAGAATTTGATTTCTGTGACCAGCCCCACTCAGGCTAATGCCTGTGGAAACATTTTGGAGGTAAGCAGCATTTACACCACTGCTACCAGGGACAGGGAGCTGGGCTGGTGGAGACCATCTCAATAGATGTGAGACTTTGAGCAAGTCTCTCTGGATCTCTAGGGGTATGTGACATTGTACATATTGGTCTATGTAAAGAGTTTAAGCTTAGAACAGGTCTGATGCTTAAGCAGGACAAATGCAAACACTGATTATGCTTATTTTAATTTGGGGTGATTTGCAAGGGATTAGCAGAGGAGTAAGTATAGTGGTTCCTAACTTTTTCCCAGGCAGTAGTATTTTGATCTGGGGTCCTTACTCCCTTTTCCACATAGTGTCAGTGCCACTGGGGGAGGAGTCCCACTTGTCACCTTGAGATCAGAAAACAGGGTGGCAGCATGATTAAAGCCCTGATTGTAGAGTCAGACAGACCTGAGTTCCAGTCACACATATACACATGTCCACATAAATATATATATGGTATTGTTTTTAAACAAAGAGAAATGAAACCCATGCCATCTACAAAAACACTCTCTCCTTGGTCAATGAGTTCATCATCAGAGACACCAAACTCAACATCAACTTCCAGTGTACCTACCCGCTGGACATGAGAATCAGTCTCCAAACTGCCCTGAAGCCCATTGTAAGGTATGGCACCAACCCTTGTCCCTTTACCCATAGACCTGACATTGGTCACTCTCAATTCATGCACAGTCTATTATGTTTGTCCACAGAATGCTATATTCCTTCTTCAAGATCTTCCATTCTTCCAACTGTTCATAGTACAAAATTTGTTGATTGTATATTAATGTTTGATGCAATAGACAGAATATTTTGTGGATATTAAAGATGATTTTGATATATATAGCAACATGGAACAGTGTTAATTAAATATACTAAAGAATAAAACCATGACAATTTTATTTATTTTCAGAAAGAAAGACATTAAACAACTAATTGAATCAATAATTATACATGAGATAAATGCAATGTATAGGAGAAACATGGGGTACTATGGAGTTAGGAATCAAGGGTCCCTGGCTTAATCGTAGGGAGTGAGGGGGTGGCAGAAGCAGAAAAGCTTCCCTGGAGATGTGGGATTTAAAATGGACCAGCTTTGATTAGATAAATCTTCATCAGAAATAGAACCAAATAGAAATGTGCGTAAGATTCCATCCAGGCAGGGTTTTTGTCTGTTGCCTCTCCCCTCAGTCACAATGCCAGGAAGGAGGCCCTGTTGAATGAGTTTCTCAGCACTTTTAGACTTGCCAGAGGATTTTAAAAGGGTGTCAGAAATCCACAGTTCCCTTCCCATCCCCTCATTGCCCATTGGCTTCCAGAATGACAGGATTAGAAGGATCAGACATTTTCTAGTTTCACGGTTCTTAGACTGTATAGTGTTGGGGTCCAAGATTCATAAAAAGTAAAAATTAAAGCCATTAATATTGTTAAAATTATCATATTACTGAAGATTGTGGGGTGTAGGGAAGAGATCTGCTGGTAAACATTGTGACCCCATAGACCTGGTCCTAAACCCCACTCTGCAGATGAAAACACAGAGGTGTGTACTTGGAGTAAAGGAGATGTGTGTGATCTGTGAGGCAGGGAGGACCAGTGAAAACTCTGGAGACAGGCTCATCTATTTGTCAAGTGTAGTGCCTAGAAGATAGTAAGTGCTGATTTAAATGAATGATTAACTAGTGTCTTTAGGGATTAACATATACCTTTGCCTTCACAATCTTACACATAAGTGGCACTTGATTTATTTTGTTCTCATGGGTTAAAACCTGATGATTCCAATCTTGTGGTTTTCCTTCTCTCAGTTCCGTGAACATCAGTGTGGCTGGGGAGGGAGAGTTTACTGTCAGGATGGCCCTCTTCCAAGACCAGAACTATACATTGCCTTATGAAGGAGCTGCAGCTGTGCTTTCCGTTGAATCCATGCTCTATGTGGGTGCCATCTTGGAGAGAGGGGACACCACCAGGTTTAACCTACTGTTGAGGAACTGCTATGCCACACCCACTGAAGACAGGACTGACCCTGTAAAATATTTCATCATCAGAAACAGGTATCAAACATCTGTGGGATTATCTTTTCGGGGGGAAATGATAACCTCATCCCTGCCTGGAAGTTGTGTAAGTTGGCTTATCTTTTTTAGAAAATAATTTGATGTTATATTTTATGATCATACCCTTTGACCCTATAATATCACTCTTGAAATTGTAGCCTAAAGCATTAATATAAAGTAAGTGGGCAGGGTAAAGAAATGCTATTTTTTCATTTTGGTATTTTTTATAACTTTGGCAATAGGTTCATTGTTCAAAATGGGGTCTCTGTTAAATAATGACAGACTGTTATACAAATGTTAACACTGACTCATCAACACAAAAACAGTATTACTGACTACTGTTAACTGGCAAAAACAAAGGTAAATGCCAATCTGTAGATCATTACTCAAGTCATGGAATAATACTAGCTAATGTTTATCACTGAGTTTTGTCTATGTGCTAAGCACTGTACTAAGCAGTGTTCTTGGATTATATCAATAAATGTTCACATCAACCCTAGGAAGATGTCTCTATAGATAAGACAAGTAGAGGTCAGAAAGATTAATCTGTTATCTGGAGAATGGGTTGGGCTGAAACTTGAAACCAGTCTGTCTCAATCCAGTGACTATGCAGCCAAAACACTTAAACCACACATACTTATGAACAACATCTTGGAGAACACCTAGAGGAATAGAATTTGATGTTTTCAGGATGGAGGGAACCTGGGGAGCTGTGTATTTCTCTCTGATGCTGCTTTTATACTGGACACAGATAAAAGATGCAGTCAAGGGACTCAGGCTTCCTGAGCTGTTCTAGAAATTGGGAAATTTGACTCTTGCCTCTGTCACCCTTCCAGCTGCCCAAATCAACATGATTCTACTATCTACATGGAGGAGAATGGGGTGTCTTCTGAGGGCCGGTTCTCAGTTCAGATGTTCATGTTTGCTGGAAATTATGACCTAGTTTTTCTGCATTGTGAGATTCATCTCTGTGATTCTCTTAATGAACAGTGTCAGCCAGTGAGTATCTCTTTGGATTTTACTATTCAGAGTCTGACATAGGGCCTGGTACCTGGTGAATGGAAAAAAGGAAGGGAGAAAGAGAGGAAGAGAAAATATATTTGGATAGATGAAGAAATGGACGGGTAAATGAATGAGAGGAAGGGAGAAGAAAAGGAAAGAAAAATGAATGGATGGATTTTAAGCCTCCAAAAAGCCCACGTATAAGCAATTATTGTGTCCCTAGCTGAAGAACCCTGTCCACCAGGTTTCCCTGCCATAAGACATATTTTAGATGACTATAATAATAGTTGTCTTTTTTGTGCTTACTGTGTGTCAAGCACTGGACTAGAACTTTCATGTGCCTTGTCTTGTTTAATTCTTACAATAACTTTTCAAGTAGATTCTTTTATTGACCTCATTGTACAGATGAGGAAACTGAGTCTCAGAGAAGTCTCTTATTCAAAAGCCAAGAGTATCAGAGCTACAAAGTATTAGATCTGTGATGTGTCCCAGTTGTCATGTGACTCCAGTGCTAATGGCCTTAACCCCTTTCTGACACTGCCTGCCTATATTAGCATTTGTTGAGTGTTTACTATGTGTTTGCATATTGCAAACATATCTCATTTTAACCTTCCCAGCCAGGAAGGTACTATTTAATAATAGTAGAGAAATAAGGTCATTTGTCCTAAATTAGTCAGCTAAGAGAGAGTGAAGATGAGTTTTTTTTACTTGACTTTTTATTTTATTTTATTTTAATATTTTATGTATTTATTTACTTATTTATTTTTAGAGAGAGGGGAAGGGAAGGGGTAAAAGAAAGAGAGAAACATCAATGTGTGGTTACCTCTCACATGGCCCCCACTGGGGACCTGGCCCACAACCCAGTCATGTGCCCTGAATGGGAATCAAACCAGCAACCGTTTGGTTCACAGCCCGTACTCAATCCACTGAGTTACACCAGCCAGGGCTGGAGATGAGATTTTAACCCAGGTTTGTTGCACATGCATGACAGTAAGAATACTCTATATTGCAATAACCACAGCATCAGAGTTAGGGACATACAGTGCATGGGCCTCATTCTCAGGCCAGACGTAAATAGAAATCATCCTTTATGCTTTGATGTCATGAGAACTCTCCATTCCCACAGTTTTGCTCAAGAAGCCAACTCCGCAGTGAAGCAGTGCCAATCAACCCAGACCTAGTTATAGATTTGGGACCCATCACTAGGAAAGGTAAGTGGCCAAGTCCTGGTGATAAACCCAGTGGTAAAGTACTGACAGTTTACCACAGACACCTGGAGTCACCAACCTAACAATGTAGAGCCTTTCTGTCTCTTCAGTGAAGCCTCAACCAGTGAATTTATCTCTCCATGAGATTCTCTGGGTAATGATAACAGCATATTCCATTTGAGCTGGGCCTCCTGTGTGCTAGAGAATAGGCTAAGCACTCAGTATCCATTGACTCACTTAATCTTTACCTGACTATGTCTTTTATAGGTGAGAAACCAAAGCTAAAAGAGATTAAATGACTCATCCAAGATACCCAGATTGTGAGTGACTGAAGTTAGGATTGAACCCAGCTGGGTCTGATTCCAAAGCATGTGTCATTTTCATTATCTTTCCTGCAAGATCCCTATACTCAGTCCCTTAGTGGTGAAGTGTGTTAGTCCTAACACAACTTTGTTTTCTGGTGAATGACTGTTTCTCAAAGTCCAGTTACAGTATTCTGGAGCATGGTGTAGAGAAAGCTTTCCAACTGCTCCTCAAATTTATATACATCCTGCACATGAGTTAGTAGTACTGTATTGGTTTTTATTCTCACTGGAATGAAAGAGTCAAGAAACCCAAAAGAATAAAGCATTTTTGTCCTAAAGAAATTAGGATACAGTAATGTTATAGTAGTAGTAGTAACAGAGCAACTTTGTGGCTGGCATTATGCAAAACACATTTATATGCATTATCACATGAAATGCTCACTACAGTATAAGGAAGTAAGCATTATTACCATTTCCATTCTCTAGGCGAGTTATTGAGGCTGTCTTGCAAAGAAGACTCTGCCCTGAGTTGTCCTGTCCCTTTACTAAGTCCTCAGCTGGAAGTCTCATGTGGTATCACAAGGTAGCTAGGGGTTAGGAACTTCCACTTTGGAATAAAACAGGCTGGGGTTCAAATTCCAGCTCTGCTACTTACTAGCAAGGATAACTTGACAAGTCTCTTGACATCAGTAAATCTTAGCCTTTCCATCTGTCATATGGGTATGAGAATACTCTAAGGTGAATTAAGTTTCCAGTACATGAAACATGTTTAGATAGGTACCTGCCAAATACTAGATGTCTTCACAATGTGGTGGCCAGATCCAAGAGAACTCAGAGCAACTATGGCCATAGTGCCACAGACACTGTAGTATGGCTGAGGAATCCCTCACCTTCTACTTTTGTTGCCAGGTGCCCTGTCTCTTGGTGTCATGAATGGAACCCCTACTACTGCAGGTACCTCACTTTCTCCTGCCTTTCCCACCCCCTTCCTAATGCTCTCTCTTCCCTTTTCTAAATTTGGTATATACTCATTGAGCCCCTTTAGTAGGCAGGCCCTGTGCTGGAATCTGTGGACACTAAAATGAATCAGTTTCAAAACTAGTTCTGGAAAGGCTCACAGTCTAGCAGGGGATCCAATCATTTAGCAACAAATATTTATCAAGTGTCTACTGTGTGCCAGGCATTATTCTAGGCACTGGAGATATAAGGATGAACAACAGAGTTCAGGTACTTGTCCTCAGTGTGGGAAACTGACAATAAAAAAGTAACAAGCTACTTTAGAAAGAAAAGAGGGTAATATGATAGAAAGTCACTGATGTGGGTAATAATGCCTCATATACTATAGAAGTTTATTTCTCTCAGATATAAATAAAGTCCAGAGGCAAGCAACCCAGTGCTAGTAGGGCAATACCACAAAGTCATCAAGAACAGATTCTTTCCAGGTCCCCCTCCACCATCTCAGGTCTCACTTTCATGGTCCAAGGTGACAACCAGAGCTTCAGTCATCATGTTTAGGCAGCAGGATGCAAGGAATGTGGAAGAAGTCACTGAGTATTATGAAACATTCCTGGTGGGTGAAAGAACATGGAGAATCATGTAGGAGATTGCAAGGACCAGGCCTAGAAATGGCATTTATGATTTCTACCCACATCCCACTGGCCAGAATCAGTTACAGGGTCCCACCTACCTGCAAAGGAGGTGGGGAAAGTACCTTCCAGTGTGCCCAGAGTAACGTGAGAAAGTATTTAATTATTACATAGTTTTTTGACCCAATCACATGGCCCTTTGCTACCTCCCAAGGACTGTAACTTAGACCAGATATTAAGGACACTCTGCCTTTGTCATCCTTGTGCAGCAAAGGGTGGGGACAGGGGGCAGCTCGCTTTGGCTGATGAGTTCCAAAGCCCAACACCTGACAGTCATCTTCCTTGCATTTCAGGGTTCGTGGTGGCCTTTTCTGTGCTTTTCCTGCCTGTTCTCCTAGCTGCGCTCTTCTGAGCTCAGCTTGGTACCTGGTCCTCTGGCGATGGCTTCCAGTCACTCTTCAGCTCTGCTGGACCTCTCTCCAAATCTGTAAATGTCTTAGTGTTAACAGACTCCAGGCTGGGCTAGGTTTGGGGAAAGGGAAGAGCTTCCTCTTGGTTGACCTTCTCAGTGCCTCTGTATTCCTTTTTCTCTTGTGGTGGGGGTTCTGTTGGCCTGACCTAGCCTGGCTTTCTCATTCTTTAGCAGTTTTTTTAAAGCAAATTTGCTGGGTCCTCTGTGGCTTCAGAGGACCTCAGCCTTTACCAGAAGTGTATCATGCTTTTGTAACTCCAAGAAAGAGGGGCCATGTCACTGGGGAAAATGGGAGTAGGATGAGCTCCTTAAAGAGGCACTTCCCTTGGCTCTACTTCCTGTTCAGACTGCTGGTGATTTCAACAGACTGACTCTTGCTTTCACCCATATCTTCTGATGTATTTCTGCCATGGGTTCAACTATCACCATGGGGAGTTGTTGTATCATGATAGTGGAGTTGTCTCCACTTTTGGAGACTCAGCTCCAGGAAAGACTGGTCCCCATTACTCCCCTGTTCTCCACCATACTGCCAACTTACTTTGATGTGCCTAGAATTACACAAACTCTTACCCTGGGATCTGGATGCTGAAGGAACTACCTGATTTGAGTGCAGAGACTACCACCTCTGCTGTAAATAGTGGTGCTTTTCCCCTGAAGGGCTAAGTTGGGAGTCCCAGAAGAAAATAATGCATCAATTTTTCCAGAGGGATAAAGCAACAGAAGCCTGAGAGATGGGCGAAGCTACTTTCTGAAAACCTATAATGATCCCTCACAAAGCCTTCACAAAGCATTCCTTTTCCACAGGTATACATGGTTCCCTCCAAGTTGGCCTCAGGGAAAATGACCAGATCAAGGCCCAGCCAAGGCAAGGGTCAGGGTGAGGGAGGAGACCTTCCAACATGCAGACTTATTCAGAGATTGTGTGGTTTCAAGAAACAGAAACTTACTTCAATGAACTCAAGCAAAAAAATGCATTAATTACAAAAATGCCTAAGCACAAAGTCCCAAGACAGAAGATAAACCTGGCTGCACAGGCAAACCCTAGGAACCCAGGCTTGTCTGTCTTTCTATCTGCCACTCTTCCTAAAACCACAGAGCCTTCATGTCTCCTTATCTTTGTGTGTCTCCTTTATTGCCCCCTCTCTCTGAAACTAGCTTTTCCTGTTTACTTATCATCCCTTGATTAAATATGGGTATTGCAGGTTCACATTGCTTCCTAATTCAGGGACTATAGAGACTTGGTATCTTGGTATCCCACATCCAAACTTCACTAGGGAGAGTCTTATTTCCCTGCTTGAGTCTAAGTGTTTTCCCTGGTCCAGTAGGCTGAGGCCAGGTTCATGATCTCATCTCATATGAACATAGCCAATGGGTCTGACCTGAAGGCAACCAACCTAAAAGGCTATGATAGTGGCTTCTTAAAGATAGAGAGTTTTCTGGGAGCAATTGCTTCCTGTTTCCCAGTAAGTTACAGGGTTCAGAGCTACTATGGTCCAAGGGAAAACATGCACTAGGAAGGGACCTGAAAGAGAGGTCAGGAGGTCCTAAACTTTTCCCTTCTCTGAGGTTTGGGGGCTGGGCTAGCACAAGATTCTCAAACATTTACAGTGGAACCTTTTTTTTAAATACAGTTCTACAAAAATATCGAATATGTAGAGAAGTTAAATGCAAATAGAAAATTGTTGATGTCTTAGCTCTCCAATTCTGTGGTTCCTTCCTCCTCAGGCCTTCAAAGGAACTCCATGATAACCCACAGGGTTACCAAGGGCAAAGTTTTGTAAATCCCTGGGACATATGTCCTGTAATGTCTCTTCCAGTGTAAACTGCATGGGATGCTACCTAACTTGAGCCAAACCTGCCTAACTATCATCTATGATCTATCTACCTACCTACCTACCTACCAACATATCTATCATATATATATCAACTATCATCTGTCTCCTATTTTGTTTTTCTCTCTCTGCTCATGAACCTATCACCTAGTGAGATAGTTATAGCTTTGGGTTTTTTGTTTGTTTGTTTGTTTGTTTTCCTAATAGACTTGCTATATGAGTAATGATCTTTGAATGTCCAGTCTACTTCATTCATTGAATCAACACTAATTCATTGAGCAACTTTGTATGTTCCAGGTCCAAAAACCTGGGTAAAATGATGAAACAGTCTCTGCTCTTCGAGTTTTAAATCTTGTGGAACACAAACACCAGAGGACTCACAGGCATATCACAGTCAGGCACATATACCCACTGAACTTCAGATGCAGGACTCATACACCCATATGACGATACACATTCTAAAAGATATGCATATCAAAGTCATGTGCCCAGAGACCCATCTCTATATACACAGATCCTTACCTGGACCCACTAGCCTAGTAACTTACATATGTATTGTCATGAGTAACTTAGTAATAGGCTGATGTGGACCCCAGCTCCTGGGGTCTGCCGCATTGTGTATGGGGGAGAGACATTCACACAGACTACCGAGTCCTGTGGAGGAAAAGGGCGAGCATGGCTTTTCTCTAAAGGCAAGTAAAAGTCAAGGCCCTTGCCATGACCGACCTTTATTGGGTTTCTCGGCACATTACATGATGATCCTCATTTCCTATGCACAGATTGGCTTTAGGTGGTTACCTTTTACAGAAAACAAAGGAGCCAATGCTGCTAATCACATCACAGAAGGATATTTGCAAATGAAAAGGGAAAAGTAGTTGAACTGGTTACACTCCATACTGGGGAGTTTTAGCTTGGATTTTAGGAAGTTACAGTAAGCACTTGCTGTCTCAATTAAGGGTGAGGGAGTTTTAGCAAAAGCAAGCCTCAAAGAAGCCTAGGTACATTGCAAGCCTGATTCCCCATGGGAGAACCTATCTGTGGGCATGGGTCCTGTGCATCTCTGAGTGGGAGCTGGGTCCATGCCACGCAGAATGGTCTCCTAACATTTCCCCCCTTGTTTTTACTTAGGACTTCTATAGATCCCACAAAGCTTGCTACTTGCTGTCTCTCACAAGACCCTGGCAAAATAATTCACAAATGCAGAACATTGTTACAATCAGTAAGCAACCAGTGGTTCCAAAGACCCACAGTCTCAGATTAAGCCCATCAGTCATTGTCAGGCAGTAACGATCAAATGGATAGCATTCAAAGAACTCTGAGGGCCTATTTTGAGTCAGGGTCAAATAGCTAAAGTGCCAAAAAACTTTGGGGAAACAAACTCATTTCAGGCTTGGACCTTTGTCATTTAAATTGAGGGTATTAGCAAAGCAGGTTTCACAGGATTTTATGCTTTCTTTCTTAGGCCTGATTGCCCTGGGGAACCTACCCTTCCTAGCAAAGGGCCACACCCACCTCCAGCATTGTTTCAGGCTTAAGGCATTGTTTCATGCTTAAGTCAAGCAGGGGAAGTAAGGCAGCCAAGAGATTAGGAGACTTCATGCAGACAGAATGAGGACTCAGGCTATGTCAAAGGCAAGAAATGAAGGTCCATCACCTTCTTTTTCTACAGCCCCCCAAATCTTTCCCTGAGGGCCTTCCTGTGATCCTGCCTGTCTTAGATCCATTCTCCCTTGAGGAATCTTATCTGTCACTGGCTAACTAACCAAGCATTGGGGGCCAGGCAGGGTGAAGTAAAAGGAGCAGAGATGGTACTCCTGCCAGGGAGATAAGCTTTGTCTCCTCAGTGGCTTATGGTCCCAAGGTCTCTCACTCAGCTTTAGCCATGGGGGGTTACAGCTTCTGAAACGAGGTAGGGAGGTTCCCAATATCTGATATCCTCGTTTTTTTGTTTGTAAATGTAATTGTAGCTGTTAAGCCTGTGAAACCTACTATTTGCTGTTCCCCAAACAATCTTAAGAAAACAACCTCTCTATATATATCATAAAGCACAAATAAGGATTAAGACAAGGAGGCATCCAAGGACTACCATGACCCAAAACCATAAATTCAGTCCATTGAACATTATGGGGCACCGAGAGGTTATTGCCCTCTGCAGGATGCACTTGAGCCCCAGCCTCTGTCATTGGGGCAGGCCCCATCCTCCTCCACTGGTGGACCCAGGCCCGTGAGTGAGTGTGGGTGTCCATTTTCCTTCTGGTTGTTCAGGGTCAGCTGGGCCTTTTGGTCTGTCAGTTGATTGGTTCTTGGCTCCAGGTAGCAGAGCTTGGTGTCTATCTCCCTCAAGATAAGGCTTTACTCTTTTGGCTGGTAGCCAGACAGGACCTGTAGGGATGGAAACACACACATACCCTCTTCTCCAAGTTAAGAGATCTACAGGACCCTGCCAAGACCCAACTCCCAGCAAATCTCTATATAAAACCTGAGGATAAGATGACTTTGGCTCTTTCTTCTGAAAATGTTTCTCAGTTGGAGTACAGAGTGACTCATCACAATTTAGAAAATTATATGTAAACATGGCTAACATAATTGAATTTGGGGGGGAAGGACTCATGACTCTCCCTTTTTCTGTTTTTTAAGAAGATTTTTGAAAGTATGATGAGCCCATTCTAGAATTGCCTGACCTGTTGGATTGTAAGGTATTCCTGTTTTATATTAGATATTCCAACGCTGAAGAAAAACCTGAGTAGAATGGGCAAGGTATCTAGAGCCATTATCAGTTTTAATATGCTGAGGCTGTCCTAAATGACTAAAGGCCTCAAGCCAATGGGCTTGCATATTTTTAGCAGATTCCCTTGTTAAAGCAGATGTGTGTAGGGCATCAAAGTATCAATAGAAATATGAACATATTTGAATTTTCCAAACTGAGCATGAGTGACATTTGTTTGCCAAATTATTTGAGAACTTAATCTTCAAGGATTAACTCCTGCAGATGGGAGTGCCTTGCTAAGGGCTTGGCAATCAGGACATTCTTTAACAATTTGCTTAGCTTGGAAAGGTAGGCCCCCTGCTGTTTCTGCCAGCTGCAATGAGTTTAAGCAGCAAGTTAATTGCCCTGTTGTTGTCAGGACCTGGTAGCTCCTAGGTTCAGAGTTTTCAAGGAAAGTGGGAAAGATGCAATGGGTGCTCTGAAAAAATATGTTTTAGACAAAAATGCTTACACACCAAGGGCCTTCTGTGACTTGATTAACTAACCATTCCCTCCGGGAGAATAGCCGGTTCTTCCCCAAGGAAACTATCAGTGTTTACATGTATTGAGTTAAAAAGTGGTACTTAATCTTCCGTGGAGAAGGGCTAATTCTTCCCGGGAGACAGTACACCTAACTTTAATTTTTACAATGAAGAGTCATGGCTCCAGCATAAACAAGAAGGATTCTTAATATTTTTTTAACATATTACAGCCCCATTCCACTTATAACATGCTTTAGATTGACAAATTTATGAACATATTCACAACTTTCAGAAACAGTTTTTTCTCTACTGGCAAATACATTTACTTGTTGTTGTTGTTGTTGTTAATTCTTATTGATTACTACATTCCTTGAGTGTGCTCAAAAGTGAGCTGTCTCTTTATCTAGTGCCCTTGACAACTTTAGGAAGGCTGGAGGAGAGGGAGGGAGGATGCTAAGCTCTGCACTGCTTGTTCCTAAAACTAAAGCAGTCCCTGGGCTTCCATAAGGAGGATTCAGAGTGGTTAAAAGACACATTTTCTCTTTTTTTTGTTGCATTTTTTACTGTCTGGAGGAAGTGAGATCTTATTTTTCTCTTTCAACAATCAATTTAAATTCTTTCTGAGTAGAATCCTTATGATGTAACAACACTAGAGATCCTATTCTATTTACCAGAGGTTTAGCAAAATATTTTGAGACTGAGTGATTTCTTTCAAACCAAAAACAAAATTCAAGCAAACCAGTATTTTCAAATTAAATCCTCTAAAGGAGGGAGAAAGACACAAACCTAGAGTCTTGTCTCACACCGTCTGGTGTTATTACATCTTCTGCCCAACTTTTTCCTAAATAACGAACACTAAAGATCCCTTATCAAGGAGACATTCAGCAGCCCCATAACTGCTGAACTAGCTTAAAACATTGCTCTTGTTCCCCAGAGATCCTATTCCCTATTGTTACAGGGTGCAGCCAAGAGGGGGGACCCCAAATGGGCATTTGAAATGGGGTCCAGAACTTTAGGTGTCCAGGAGATTTTAAGATGTCTCCATCCCCCCACCCAGGGTATGGGTTGGGGGGAAGGGACAAATGGAGCAAGGCCACTGAGATCTGTTTTGCATAGCAACAGCCTTGCAGCTACCCTCTGGTGTGGTCATTTAACATATCTATAGCCTTTGGCTGGTCGCTTAGATATGTTAAATAGCTGTGATCATCTCTGAGCCAGGGGAATGGAAGTAACTTCCCCACCAAGATGTGACTGGGGGCAGATCCCCCAAGCTACAGCGCCTGCGTGGGAGCTCGGAGAAGATTGGCTCCAGGACATGGGGCCACACCTGCCCAGACTCAAGATGGCAGCCCAGTAAAGCTGGAAGGATACGAGTTCCGGCATGTGAAGCCGAGTGTGGGAGGAGTCGGAAATGAGGCTGCTTTAGGAAAGAGAACCACGTGGCTTTGGCAGAGTGGGGACTCTCCCCTTCCCGCAGGCCTGAGAGGGAGAACTACGAGGCCTGGACAGAGTGGGGACCCCCACAGCTTTAGAAGGGGGAACCACCACCTGGTTTTAGCAGAGATCCCGGCGACTCAGCGGAGGGTGCTGGGAACCCAGGGAGGTCTCCCAGTCAAGATGGAGGACTAACTAAGAACCAGAGGACTGCCTGAGCCATGGACTTCTATTTTCTTTCCTGAGATACGGTACTCTGGACTGGGCAAAGGGGGAAGGAAGGAAGGACTGCGTGTTTGTGGGTGTTTTAAGGGACCTTAGGATTTTTGATGAAGACATTAGGTCACTACTTGAAGTCTGTATAGCATTAAATAAACATTTCCTTTCCTTTTCACGAATCTCTGGCATTGAGAGACGTCTTTCCTCGGGCGGCGGACATGACGGAACTGGGGGCCTTTTAAATAATAGTATATCGTCCCAGGTCCCCCTTGTGTTCTGTAACACTATGGCTGAGGATTTGCAGAAAACTTTGAAAAATTTTTTTAACAAATAAAAGTTATTTTAA